TATTTTATTCTGAGAGAGGAGTTCCATGGGAGCCCTTGGCTGGCCTCATCCCATGACTCTGCAGAAGCCCGGCCACAGAGCCCTCAGCTCTTCCTTGTCATGTTGGCAGCACACGGGTCTGGGCCAGGCTCCTGGACCTCGGCTGCCCCACCCACCCCGAGGGCTCAGAACTCGCAGATCACAAGGCGCTTCTCTTCACAGGGTATGTCGTTCCACTTGCCGTTGGTGAAGATCTCCACACAGTCCTCATTGCCACCCTTGTTGTTGGGCTCCCCGGGCTTCCAGTTGGAATAGACCAGGGACTCCCCTCCAGGGTAGATGAACTTGCCCTCCGTCTTGGAGTCAGTCATGCTCAGGAACGCAGCACCCTTGTTCTCAACCTCGATCAGCTGTTGCAAGGCCTTGTTCTCAGCTGCAGAGCGTGGGGAGGGCAGCTGCCCCCCAGCCTGTGCGCACACTTGCTGTGCCTCCTGGAAAGGTTTCTGAAAGCCTGCTGCCTTGAAGACCTTCTGGTCAACACCTCGGCCGTTGGGGAAGAGCTCCACTAGGAGGAGAGCACAGTCAGGTTGGGGTTCTGGGGGCACCTGCCAAAGCTCCATGGCTCTGAGACCTTTGTGCTCCAACCAGAGCCCCAGGCCTCCCATATAGGGCCTCAGAGCATCAGGGAGGACAAAGGTGAGACCCCAGGTCTGCGGTGCGCTCTGGGAGGTGGATCTGCCTGTCTAGTTACAGGTGAGAACACTGGGCTCAGAGGGGTTAAGTAAGTGGCTCAACTCCATGTGACCATCACATGCAGAGTTGGGGAGTCACCCTTATCTGATCTCACACTAGAGCTGAGACGTGCTCTTTCTATTGCACCCCATGTTGCATGGCTGAATCGGTTTCCCAGTTACTGGGCAGGACTGGGATGCTTTGGCATCGTGCAGCCTCTGAGAGCTGGAAACAAGGAAGGTGCTCACTGATCTCACTGTGGACACTGCATAACAGCAGGGCATGTGGCATTGACAGGGAGGTCTGTGCCGCATGTGGATGTGGGAAAGAAGAGGAGAGGCTGGGCCATCTGAGGGCAGCGCTGTGCTAATCTCTGCACTGTGTGCGCCCAGTGCTGGCCTCTAGGTGTGCACGTGGGGGAGGCTGGAGAGCTGGGAGAGAGGACAAGGACAGCTGAGAGGTGTGCATGGGCGTCAGGGGCAGGAGAGAGTCAGTGCTGGAGAGAGGCCTGTCTGGGAGTCAGAGGGCCAGGTATTCAGCCCTGCCTTGGCCATGACTGTCCAGGCGGTCAAGGGAAAGTCACTTCCTTTTTCGGGGTTTCCAGTTCCTCATCTCTAAGATGGGAATACAATTTATAAAAGCATCACCTGTGTGACATTCAACTGAAGCATAGTAACCTCCATCTTGTGTAAAAACTGCTGTTTGAAATTTTAACCCTGTTATTTTGGCTTCTATAAATGCTTGCTTGCTTAAATAATAAGGAAAAATGAGACTACTCCCATTCCAGAGAGGCCATAAACTATGTATGCCCCAGACAGAGGTGTCAGAGCTGGTGCCAGGCCAGTCCTTGAGATATGGTCTCACAGCCCTGTCCCAGCACACAGGTTTCTGTCTCAGAAGGTCCAGAAGTCTCGTTTTAAATTTGCAAGACAAAGAGCTGAAAAAGTATCAATAGAGAAGACTTCTACCATGTTGGGGCCCAGAATTTGACAGAGATATTTTTCTCTGAGCCTGCTAGCATTAGCATAATAATAAGACTACAAATTTGACTTATTGATTAAGGCATCTTCTGATTTACAATATAACATTTGGTGGCCCATATGGGGAGACAGTGCTTACTAGCACTTTGTCTCAGATGCCAAGGGCCGATGGCCAATCCCGGCCTGGCTGCTGGCCCCCGGGAAGTTCTCCAGGGGAGGCGCCCCCTGGAAAGCTTCCAGGGCCCTGGAGACACTCCTTAGTGGTTCTGGCAGCCAAACGGAGGACGCCTGACATGCCCCTGCATTCTTTCAGAGTAAAAACAAAACAAAACAAAACAACAACAATAAACCTCCGGAGGTGAGTAAATTTGATTAAGTAAATTCTAATTCATTTTCCTGTTTCCTTGTTTGTGTTACTGGTCATTTTGTTACCGAGAAGAAGGACTGGACGCGGTTGTAACTTCTCCAGTAGGTTCTCACCGAGATGTCAGTCCAGAATCCTGTTCTTGGGGAGTGGGTTCAGGGGGGCCCCCACATGTTTCTGTTAGGCCTCCAAGTCTGTTTTTGTTAGGACAGTTGGGCAGGAATTTGATTAACTGTTTAACTTCCGAAGTGCAGTCTGAGTTCAAGCCTGCCTTTGGGGTCAGGGGAGGTGGCTCAGACTGACTTGTATGTAAATGTGTGAGAGCTGCTTTGTATTGTCCTGTGCTTTTGTGTGCTTTTGTTAACTGTGAGAGATGTCTGGCTAAAAACGTAGGAGTATTTGTTGATGTCTTTGTCTCTTTGTTTAATTTGTTTGGGGCAAGCCAGCCCTGCTTTGGCGGGGGAAGCCCAGTAGGACTGGACTGTAAAAGAGATTGCAGGATGACATGAACCATCCTTCTCTCTCTCTTTTTTTTAAAGTATTAGCTCGCCAGAGAACTCTTAGCTAGGGAGGTCTCTATCTGTAAAGTAGAGACTTTAATTTGCTCTGCCCTGATTTATGATTTTGCTGTGTTGGGTTAAATTTTAAAATTCTAAGGTTAATTCAAAGGTACAAAATTTGTAAAGATTACAACCCATGCAAGTTTACTACTTGGAAGGAAAAGCAAGAAAAAAAGTGAGTTCTAAAGTTAACTATTTGCAAAAAAGTGTAAAGTCATAAAAATCTCAAAGAGAAGTTTAAAACAAAGGGCTAATTTATTGCTAGCCTGTTAGTTACTGGCTCTTAGATCTTCCTGCCAGGAGAAGGGGAGAGGGAGAAAGATAAAAACTAAGGGGAGCCCTACCTGGTTTGGCTCAGTGGATAGAGCGTCGGCCCGCAAACTGAAGGGTCCCAGGTTCGATTCCGGTCAAGGGCATGTACCTTGGTTGTGGGCACATCCCCAGTAGGGGGTGTGCAGGAGGCAGCTGATCGATGTTTCTCTCTCATCGGTGTTTCTGACTCTCTATCCTTCCCCTTCCTCTCTGTAAAACATCAATAAAATATATTTTTTTAAAGAACAAGGGGAAAAAAAGGAGCCAAGTCCTGCTGCCCGGAGATGAAGGGTGCGATGGGGGAGTGGAGTGGGTAGACAGACAAAGGGGCTTTCTAGAGAAGCCAGCAAAAAATCAATGAAAACCTATCTTTCCCTACTCTCTTTGCTGACGCCCCCCTTGGTCTCAGCCCACCTACACCCAGGTAACGTAGAAGTGCAGAAAAGCTGTTAAAAGAAGCTCAGAATATCTATGTCCATAAAATAAGAAAGGCAAAAACAGAAAACTAACATGGTATTCACAATTGTAGAACCAGCAGCCTAGGGAAGGGCTGGCCCAGAGGGCCAGAAACAGAAGCCGCAGTAGTAACCTTAGATGTTATCTCTAAGGAAAAATGTAGTAGTTTAAATCCAAGCCTGCTCCTATATAATTTTCTTAATTAACTTAAAGGCTTTGGAGCATTGCTGGGTTAAATGGCAAACATCTAAATATTTAAAAAAAACACAAAACAAATAAACTAAAACATTAACTTCTAGACAAGTTTTAATTTACCTGCTCTTAGTTTTATTATAGGAGGAAGGTCTCATACTTTTTTAAAGGTGTATTTTCTTGAAAGTAAAAGTACATTAAAAGTGTGTTCATAGATGTTAATCTAAGAAATGCTGGCTGTTTACCCTTTGATAATTATTAAAAATTAAGGTTTCTAAGGGTAAAGAAACATTTTAAAGAAAAAAAAGGAAAAAAGGTCTACAGGTTGCTAATAGTATGACAGAAAGGAAAGAATATTAGAGTAGAGATACTTAATAGAAGAACATAGGTTATGCATTTTTGAAGGACATAGAAAGAAGGTTTAAAGACTAATTTGAAAGTGTGAAATTTATGAAGGTTGTGTATATGATACAAAGGAAAAGCGAAATGTTAAAAGGAAATTGATTAAATAATACAGGCCAGTGACCCAACACCCAAGTTGCTGCCCAGTGAGTTATGAGTATTTTATAACACATAATAAAAGACTTAAGCATTTGGCTTGCTGGTTAAAAGGAGACAAGCAACTGGGCCCTGGGATCTGTAAAAGTGGCCGGGGATGAAGCTGGTCAAGTTTCCCATTTGCAACTGTGCTGTAAGGGTTAAAACTTCAGCACTTCAACTGCAGTTGACAGTGGCCGGCAGAAAACTGTGTAATGGACTTAGATGATACCTGCGTCTTCATGGACATAACTCCAGAGAGACAAGGACAATTTTGCTTTGTGTGGGAAGGTCAAGAATAGACTTTAGTCACCTCTCTGAGATGTTTGTATAGCCCTACCATGTGTCATGTTTGGTAGCAGAAAATTTGGCTGCCTGAAGTGGCCACAGTGCCAATATTGTACTTCATTATGTTAATATGTTATATTAACCTTTAATTCTCTTACAGATTTGAATGCAGTTGCCAAAAGGGCGGGTGCCCAAATAGGCAAGTATTTTTCCTGATGGTTTTAGTCTCTATTGAAAGACAGTTGGCAGCCTGTGTACTGCCTTGCAGGCCTGTGTGACCATGCCCATGTCAGGGGTGGTGCAAACCTCAACTTTAGGAAAGTGGGGGAGGCCTATTTAGAACAGAAGGAGTATCAGCCCACTGTCACATGAATTACAGATCCTGTGAGGTCCTGTGACATGTGAGACCCTATGAAGGGATAAAGCTCCCTTAGTCCATTCTGAGAGGGCGTGTCACCCCTCCCAAAGATCATATGTAGTTTAAGGACAAGTGAAGTGGGGGGAACCCTACTACAGGGACAGCTGTGACTATGTATTTGAATATAGACCAGGGGTGGGCAAACTTTTTGACTCGATGGCCACAATGGGTTCTTAAACTGGACCGGAGGGCCGGAACAAAAGCATGGATGGAGTGTTTGTGTGAACTAATATAAATTCAAAGTAAACATCATTACATAAAAGGGTACGGTCTTTTTTTTTTTTTTTTTTTGTTTTTTTTTTTTCAAACGGGCCGGATTCGGCCCGCGGGCCGCAGTTTGCCCATGGCTGATATAGACACATTTTAAATTTCTTCTTGCCATTTGAAGACAGTTACTGTTTTATTATAATACATTTAGAAAAATATTCCTCTGAAGAGTCCATAAAAAGGACTGGCAAGGAAAATCAGAAGATCTTAAAGCAGGTCAGTATATTTTTCTCCTCATATAATTCCTCCGAAATTTGGCAATTCTTAATAAATAAATCATGGCAATGCATTTCTTTGCATAAATTCAATAAGGCCGGTTTCCAAAAGTGGTTTTATTGACCAGAAACTTTGACTGGAGTATCATGTTTTAAAGAGCCCTGTCTGAACTCTGAAGACTTGAAGCCAATAAAAGTGCCACGGAAAAAGCCTGGTATCCTGCTTGATAGCGCTGAAAATGGATGGCGCTGGAGCATCAGGCCCATACCCTACCATCGCTGGTGGTTGGTCAGAGTAGAAGGGGGGCAATAAGGGCACCTCTGCATCCCTGCAGGACCCCTACTCACGCTAGGCCGCAAGGAGTAGGAGGGCTACTGAATGGGCCTTAAAGCCTAGGGCATGGGCCTGGGTAGAGCCACTACAGGTGAGAAATTCACCTAACTCAGCAGATACTGCAGGCAGGTCTGATGGCAGCTGGATGGCTTGGCTTCCTGGCCCTATGGGGCATATTAAGATTCAATCATGAAATTCTGTCAAAGGTAGTCAGTTACCATTCTTGTTGTGTTTATGCAAGCAATCAGGCCAAATTGAATACAATAGATAAATTAGTCTTAATTTAGCTCTTTTAATAAACATAAGGGTAATTTTAAGGAGAAAAATTCTATTTCAATAGAAGTTATTAGAACTGAAATGTTTTCTCTTCCTTCCACCAGACCATTTGTTATAACTCTTGCTATTCTAAGTGCTCAATAATACTAAATTATATAATACACTTTGTCTCCGCCAAGTCACAAGCCCACCTCCTTCTGTGCCCAGGCCTCATTGCCCCTCTGACAGACAGCAAGGATCTTTTGGCTCTGAAAAGAAAACTCTGTCCCTTTTCAGCATGGAAGTAGCTAAAAGAGCCCACCGACGTCCATTTTTCCCTAAAAGAATTCAGAGCCAAGATCCTTGAGGTAATATATTAGGCAGTTAGACAGACATGAGCAGAGCAAGGATGATGGGCCAACTAGCACTACCAAATGTAACTAAGTCTTTCCACCTCTATGTATATGAAACAAAGGGAATAGCCAACGGGGCTCTCGCCCAAAGTCTCAGCCCCTAGAAAAGGCCAGTAGCCTACTTGTCCAGAAGACTTGACCCCGTTGCATCTAGGTAGCCTGCCAGCCTCCAGGCAGTAGCAGCCGCCACCATACTTGTCAAGGAAGCAGACGAAGCAGCCCGGGAACCTGCCCGAAAACCAGTGGGGCCTCTTCAGATTCTAATGATTCTTCCAGACCCTGACCTACCCACCTCACCAGCTTACATGGAACCACACTAAGCTTGCAGAGCTTCTAAGAGATAAGTACGATCTACCCAATCTATAAAAGCTGTAATCCATAACCAATCTTTACTCAAGTCCTTACAGGCTTTACAGTCCACCCAGAAAGCAGTCCAGGAGCACATCTGAGACGCTCTGCCTTTACCAACTTCTGATCCAGTCTGTCTTTTCCGCCCTGGTGACTCTGTTTAGATAAAGAAATTTGCCACCCTAGGACTGACTCCTACCTGGAAAGGACCACACACTGCCATCTTGACCACCCCCACAATAGTCAAGGTCGACGGGACTTGATGTGGCTTCATCACACCCGGCTTAAGGCATCTCAGGCAGAATAGAGAGTCCAGGACTCTTCAGACCCTCTAAAGATTACTCCTGTCCCTCATCCGGGCCCTTATGAACTGGCTTACTAACTTTATTTGACAGAAAATTAAGATTATAGTTCTCAGGGGTCAATATAACTCCCTCCCTGACAATGACCGACAAGAATCAATGATTTGGATTGTACATAAAACCAGTGGGGAATGAAATATAGTAACCTCCATCTTGTGAAAAACTGCCGTTTGAAATTTTAACCCTGCTATTTTGTCTTCTGTAAACGCTTGCTTGCTTAAATAATAATGAGAAATAAGAATACTCCCATTCCAGAGAGGCCATAAATTATGCCCCAGACAGAGGTGTCACCGCTGGCAACAAGCCAGGCCTTGAGATATGGTCTCACGGCCCTGTCCCACCACACAGGACTTCTTTCTCAGAGGGTCCAGCAAGTCTCATTCCAAATTTGGAAGACAAAGAGCTGAAAAAGTATAAATAGAGAAAACTTCCACCATGTTGGGGCCCAGAATTTGACAGAGAGATTCTTCTCTGAGCCCACTAGTGCTAGCGTAATAATAAAAGACTACAAAATAATTTGGCTTATTGATTAAGGCATCTTCTGTTTTAGAATATAACACAACTATCTCTTTTCATTCCGTCTCAGTTTCCATCCCTTTGTTGTGTGTGTGTGTGTGTGTGTGTGTGTGTGCTTTAATATATTTTTATTGATTCAGAGAGGAAGGGAGAGGGAGAGAGAGATAGAAACATCAATGATGACAGAATCATTGATTGGCTGCCTCCTGCACACCCTCTACTGGGGAGCAAGCCCTCAGACCAGGCACATGCCCTGACCAGGAATCGAACCATGATGTCCAGGTTCATAGGCCGTCTCTCATCCACTGGGCCATGCTGGCCGGGCTCATATTCCATGCCTTTGACTTCTGGGTTTGTGCATAGAAGCCTTCAGGGCTCCTGAGAGGGCTGTGCTCCAGCCCCAAAGGACTGGTGAGGAGCCCAGGCTGCACCCCGACCCACTGTGACCCTTCCACAAGGGTTCAGGGGGCAGACTCTCCACAGGCTCAGGAGGGCACCCAGAGCAGCCCTGGACAGGAGTTCCTCTGCCATTCACTACCTGCACCCGGGTGGGTCTGTGTGTGCATACACGAATATGGCCACGTGTCCATCTGAAGGTACATGGGAGCACTGAAGGTCCACCTGGTGTGTGTGAATATGCGTGTGTGCTCGTGGGTGTACATGATGTGAGGTGAGTGATGGCATGTGTGTAATACACAAACGTGTGTCAGGTGTATATCACGCATTTTCCTTTGTTTGCATCAGTGTGCATGTGAGTGAGTAAGCACACATGCATGTTTGTGGTGAGGGGGAACATACTAAATGCTTGAAACCTCACCCTTGGTACGTGGGTACTCAGTGGCCTTAAGTATGTAAGAGCCAACCCTATGTCTCACCCCTGTGTGCTCTCCTCCTTCAGAAACTCCTCTTTGGATCAATGAGATTTGCTGAATGATTTGAGCTCAAAGCTGACATGGGGAAAGCGGGGAGGGGGGCGGGAAATTAGGGACTGAGGTGGAGATGCCCACAGGCACAGGCACTGGGCTGTGCTGCTGGAGCCTCTGACTCCTCAGCACCCAGGTTAGGGGAGAGTCTCCACCATGAACACCCAGGGAGGAGCGGGAGAGCCCAGCACTGGCAGAGCCCAGAGGCAGCCTGCCCCCTGCCGGACCCAGGGCCTGTCTCAGGTGAGACTCTCAATGGCCACATGCCAAGGTCAGACCCTCATAGCCTTGAACGCAAGCACAGCATCCCAGCCCCAACTCTCAGGACAATGTCTGGAGTCGCTTCTGCTGTGGGCTGGGCAGCTACATCTTGAGGGGTTTGCAGAACTAGCCCCATAGATATAAGAAATGCATTCTGGGTAGTGGGGTGTCCAGGGACCAGCACAGGTGGGCAGGAGGGAAGGTCTGAACTACACTGGGCTTGGGGCATTGATCTGGCTCGGGTCACAGGTGGCTGTGATGGTGGGGACTGGAGCTGGTAGCCTTGACCATGCGGTGCCAGCCCACTGAGCTGGTGTAAGGGCCACACCCTGCTACGTGTCCCTGGCATCTGCTTCCAGCTCCTGGACCATGTGGCTGCTCTGCTCTGCCCCACCCTATCCTTAGCCCCAGGTCCGGCCCCAGTCCCAGGTCCATCCCATCATCCAAACCCACTAGCATCCTAGAGCCCCCAGTCCTAGAACCAGGCTTGCCTCAGGCCCGGCCAACTCCAAACCCAAACACAGACCCCGCCTAGAGCCTACCTTTGGCAACTGGCTCAGGTTCAGGTCCAGGTCCAGGACTCACCTTTCTTACACTGAATGAAGGCTCCCTGCAGGCGTCCTACCTGCCCCTGCAAGGCCTCCACCTGCTGCCTCAGAGCAGCGATGTCTGCAGGAGAGAGAGGCCCAGTGAAGACCAGTCCCTCACAGCCAGGGATCGGCTCAGATCCAGGTCCCAAGGGAAGGGTGCTCAGTGACAGGCTTTCCTGAGGGAGGGTAAGGGGCTGGGCCCCCAGGAAGCCCACAGCTGCTGACACAGCTGGCCCCTGCTGCCTTCGCTGAGGCTCTGTAGTGAGCACACTGTGCCATGAGCAGGTCCTGACACCCCACTAACTCTGACCCAGATGACATTTCACAGCAAATTCTGAGAGTCTGAGAGCACATCCCTGGGGGTGGGGTGGGGGAGGGAGGAATTGCATTTCCCTCAAGTACTCCCCATCCCTGGGTTATTTGGTGCTCACAGCTCTCTGATGAACTGGGAAGAGAGCTGAGTTGTCCCAGTGATCAGGTGGAAAACTGCTCAGGCTGGCCCTCCCCTGAGTACTGGGTCTATCCAGAGCCTCATCTTCCTACCTTCAGCCTGACAGCCTTTCCCAGTTTCACACCCGCCTCCTTCCCCCACAATGGGCTGACCACTGAACTAGAGGGCCCTCCTCCCTCTGCACCTGGTGGGGCACCCAGAGCCAGGGGAGTTGACCTTACCTGGAAGCCCACTCTCTCCCTTGGCTCCTCTCTCCCCAGGAGCACCTCTGCCCCCCTTCAGTCCTGGGGGGCCCCTGGCGCCTGGAGGTCCCTGTGGGCCCGAAGGACCTGCAGGCCCTGAGATCAGACAAGAAGAGGAGGGTGAGCTCGGCACACATTTTCCCGCATTTCCCCCTCCCAGCATATGGGCTGTGCTATTGTCCAGCAATACACCCTCCCACGTACAGTCTGTCCCATAGCCAGCCACACACCCTCTCTGCACACTACTTTCCCATCGCCCAGCCCCTGGCCTTCCTAGGATGCAGACTGTCCCTGCTGCTCACACTGCTTTCTCCCCAGTTACAGAGCTCAAGCCCAGCGAGGCACCTCCTTGCACAGACACCCCATGACCAGTGCTGCAGCTCTGAGCTGGCGGGGTGATGGGGGAGGGACAGGCATCTGCAGCTTCAGGTGGACACAGGAGGACCGAAGGCCCGCCCCAGCTTTTCCCATCACTCACCTGCTTCCCCTGGAAGCCCAGGGGCTCCACGCTCACCAGGGGCACCATTTTCTCCTCTGAAACCTGGGGGGCCTCTTGTCCCTGCAGAGCCCTGCACGCCTGGGGCACCCACTTCTCCTGAGGAAGGAACAGATTGGGACAAAGGCTGCTGAGAGTGTGTGCAGCCGGGATCATTTCCTCGGCTCCACATGGAGAGGGGAAACTGGGGGGCTGTGCACCCCAGTGTCCTCCAGATGTGAGGGTGTTGGGGGCAGGGCTGGCAGGAAGGCCTGCCAGTGGTGATGGCCTGGCTTCCCTGGCACACTGAGCATCCTTAGGTCACATCATGGATTGCCACTGTCACTCCTCCCTCTCCCTTCTGGACCACCATACACCAACCTCCTACCTTTGGGCCCAGGCTCTCCTTTGGGGCCTGGTTCACCTTGGGGTCCCACATTCCCCTGCATTCCTGAGGGACCCTCTGGTCCAGCCGGCCCGGGCACACCTGGAGGTCCTGGAGGTCCTGGGAAAAGAACCAGCCAGTCAGTGCACCGAGTCTTCTCAGAAGGGGGAGAGCGTGAGAAGGTGAGAGCAGTCATAGAGGTCAGAGAACAGCACCATCCTACAGATGCCGCCCAGCAGTATTACAGCCTTCCCTGTGTGAACCCAGCACCACCCGCAGGGCACCCTCCTTCCTGGGATGGGTATGTGCATCCTCCCGCATGGCCTAGTGGCAGGCATTGCAGTCCACGCCCACTGCTCACCACGTGGCCCCGAGTCTCCCTTTGGTCCAGGTTCTCCAGCAGGACCGTTGTCCCCTTTGGGCCCAACTGGGCCAGCAGGTCCAGGCATCCCCATGGGCCCTGGAGCTCCTGGTGAACCTGCAGCAGCAGAAGAAATGGGCATAAACCTGGCCCTGGGCCTAGGAGGAGCAGCACCTGCAGGTCAGCCCTGCATTCCTTCAGGTTCCGCAGGTGTAGACATTCCACCTCCACACTCCTCAGTCCAGTGGTGACCCAGGAGACGGGTGTGCACATCCCCGTTTCACAGGTGAGGAACCAGGCCTGCCAGAGCTGGTGTGGGGGTCAAGCCAAGAACTGTCTGATTTCCATATAGTGCACCCTCCATGCCCTGAGAATGAAGATTTACAGCAGAGGATCTGGATCATGGACTCCTTGCTTTCCTCTTCCTAGGATCAAACTTTATATCAGAATGATCCCTGACATAAGTCACCAGGGAAATGCAAATCAAACCCATGAGATATCATCTCACCCCTCCTAGAATGGCAACTGTAAGAAACACAAAAGCTCACAAGTGTTGGTGAGGATGAGAAGAAGACCCCTTGTGCACTGTGGTGGGATTGTAAATTGGTGCAGCCACTATGGAGACCAATATGGAGTTTCCTTATGACGTTAAAAAGATAATTTTTTTTTTTTAAAGTATGATCCAGCAATACCACTACTGGGTTTTATCCAAAGGAAATAAAACATTAATTTGAAAAGATGTCTGTACCATTATGTTCATTGCAACATTTTTTACAGTAGCCAAGAGGTGGAAACAACCTAATAGTGTCCATAATGGATGAATGGATAAAAATGTCACACACACACACACACACACACACACACACACTCTGGAATATTATTCAGCCACAAAAAAATCCTACCATTTGCAACAACATGAATGGATCTTGAAGGAATTATGCTAAGTGCCATAAGTCATACAAATTAAGACAGAGACAGTATGATCTCAGTTATATCTGGATTCTAAGAAACAAAACAAAGAACTTGAACTCATAAATGCAGAGATCAGATTATTGGTGGTTGCATAAGATGGGAGCTGGGTTGTGGGTAAAACGGGTAAAGGTCAAAAGCTGCAAATGTCCAGTTATAAAATACTAGAGGCCTGGTGCAGGACATTCATGCACTGGGGAGTGTGGGGTTTCCTCAGCCCGACCTGCAGCCTCTTCATTCTTGGAGTCCTCTCCAATCTTGGAGTTTTTCTCTGTCTTTGCAAGCATATGAGCGAATTGTCTGAGACCCTAACTCAGTTTGGTTTGGTGCTCACAGATTAATAGAGGCTTTTTTTTTTTCTTTGCTTCATTGGTGGAGATTTCCTGGAAATTTTAGGATATCTTCCCTTTAATTTTTCCTAGACACTCTGATTTTACTTATGGCTCTCACCTTTGCTTTCCCTCCATCCCCTACCACAACAGTAACTTGCTCCAGGCTCACTTTGCTCTAGGGCAGCGGTTCTCAACCTGTGGGTTGCAACCCCTTTGGGGGTCGAACGACCCTTTCACAGGGCTCGCCTAAGACCATTGGAAAAGACCCTTTCACAGGGGTCGCCTAAGACCATCAGAAAACACATATATAATTTCATATTGCTTTTGTGATTAATCACTATGCTTTAATTATGTTCAATTTGTAACAATGAAATTGGGGGTCACCACAACATGAGGAACTGTATTAAAGAGTCAGGGCATTAGGAAGGTTGAGAACCAGTGCTCTAGTGTCTAGGACAGTGGGGGGCAAACTCATTAGTCAACAGAGCCAAATATCAACAGTACAACCATTGAAATTTCTTTTGAGAGCCAGATTTTTAAAACTCAAATTATATAGGTAGGTACATTGTTATTAACTTAATTAGGCTACTCCTAAGGCTTAGGAAGAGCCACACTCAAGGGGCCAAAAAGCAGCATGTGGCTAGCGAGCTGCAGTTTGCCGACCACTGGTCTAAGAGATCTGTCTGCCACCAGAACTACTATTGCCAGCATTCCTGGTGCTCCTTGCACTCTGTGCTTCTGCTTCTGGTCCTGGGGCTGCCATCAGAACTATTATTCCCAGAATTCCTGGTGCTCCCCATACTCTTGGTTTTCCCTTCCTGTTCTGTCTCTGTCCCATGGCCTCCCACTCTGCCAAGTCCTCCAAGCTGCCAGCTCTCCCTCTCTGCTCTCCGTCTGGTGGCTTGGGGAGCCAAGTTCCCCAAGCAGCTCCACTCTCCGCCAGCTCTCTTGCTCAGCTCTCCACCCGGTGGCTTGGGGGGAGCGACCGAGGTAGCCACATCACCCCAAGCTGCTGGCTCTCCCACACTGCTCTCCACCCAGTGCCTGTGTATGCAAAGAAACCTGCCTTCTTTGTCAGGTTAATTTGCATTCTCACTCCTGATTGGCTGTTGTGTGTAGTGGAGGGATAGTCAATTTACATGTTTCTCTTTGTTATATATCATGAACTCCTTTTCCTCCTCAACATAGTGCATTTAGGTAAATCCTTTTGATGAGGCCTGAGTGTGGGGCCATAGAGCCTTATCTTTGCCCACCTCTCATGCAGTAGAATTTAGTTAGATATTTCACACTCTGCACAGAAATCATTCAACCACAGTGAACAATTGTAAGTGCCACAGCTTTGTTGTAGAGGGCCACGAATACCAGTCATTTATCCATGATGTGCTCATTATTGGGGTGAGAGGAATCAGAAGATCCTAGGAGAGGAATCCTGACAGCTAGGTGAGGGGAAAAAAACACCCCAGGGCTCAGGGCAGCCTGTCATTTGCCATCTGGTAACGAGGTGCTTTAGGTGGACTGAATGTCTAGGGGACTTCTCCCCAAGGAGGTGGGTTTCCATTTCCAGGGCTTCCACGGCAGAACATCCAGAGTTGCTGAGTTGGTTACAATTCCAGTGGCCACCCATGCCCACCAGGACAAGCCCATGGTCCCAGCTCTACCTGGATCCCCCTTCTCGCCCCGGGGGCCTTCTTTTCCATCTTGTCCATCACGACCAGGCAGGCCATTCTCCACAGGGCTACACATGACTAGGGTGCAGGCATCAATCAAAGGTTTCTGGGGAAGGGTTGTCACTTCTTCTCCCCATGACCTTGGAGACTGTGTGAGCAGGACCAGCACAGAGAGGAGAAGCATGGCCTTCAGGGGTGAACAGAAAGAGAAAGGACATGCTCTTGGTTCCAGAACACGGGTTAGTGCTTAGCCTACCTCCTGGAAGTGAGAGAGGCATTTTCCTACCACCTCGCCCCTTCTGTGGGATCAGGAGCAGCAGGACTCTGAAAGCAATTTAGGACAAGGCGGCCATACAGTCTGGCCTGGGAGGGCATGAGTTACCCAGCTAAACTGTGACATGGGTTATCAGCAACATCTACCTCTTCTCAGATGCCCCATTTTGTCCCTTCTAATGACTTTCGTTTTACACTGTGATCAGCACGTCTAAGATGTGAACTCCTGCCGAAACCGGTTTGGCTCAGTGGATAGAGTGTCGGCCTGCGGACTGAAAGGTCCTGGGTTCGATTCCGGTCAAGGGCATGTACCTGGGTTGTGGGCACATCCCCAGTAGGAGATGTGCAGGAGGCAGCTGATCGATGTTTCTAACTCTCTATCTCTCTCCCTTCCTCTCTGTAAAAAATCAATAAAGTATATTTAAAAAAAAAAAAGATGTGAACTCCTCACTGAGGCCACCTGTCACATCAGGAAGGACTCATGAAGTGCCTTTCTGCAGGACAGTTCCCCACTTTGAACCTCCTTCTCCCTGTCTGTATCAGTAAGGTGGCTGGGCAGACCCATTTCCTGTTGAAAAAGGAATTTTAGGGGTACGATAGGACAGTTTTAGGAAATATTAGAAATTTTGGAAATTAGGGGGACCATGGAGGAAGCACAGGGCTGCAGAGCAGAAGAAGGTATATTTCCATAGAATGGTGGAGCTGGAAAGCTGAACAGGTACATTTCCATACAATGAGGAAGCTGGGAATAGCAAAAGGTCAATATCTACAAAATAAAGAGAAGGAAGCCCTTCATTCAGAGGCAGAAGAAGGAAGCCAAAAGGGGATAGGAAAAGAATAAGGATGGAGGGTGGGAGGGGGGGGGGGAACCTCACATATCCCATGTAAGGTTCAACCTTTGAGCCCAGGAGTTACTATAGTAACCAGTCTAAGGAAGTAGTGACCAATCATAGGGGCTATCAAGGCACCAGGATCTGCAGCCTTTATAAACCATAGGGAAAAGGAACTCCCTTCCTACATGGGAATCTAGTCTATGGAACTCTTTCCCTCTTCCCATGTGGGAGTCTATACTTGTTCTTCAATAAATTTCCACCTTTGCTACACCACTTTCTGTCCGTGGATTCATCCTTCTATCCCAGCGGACAAATTTTCTGGGTTCCAGTCCAAAATTGTCATATCAGATGGTGCAATGGCCAGAAATGTCTCCATAAGTCAGTCAACCCTCTTCACGTCGAATGGTGAGCAGCCACGGATTCTGTCTCTGTTCTGTCTCTTGCATGATTTTGGAGGCTGACAGATGCCTGCCAGTCACTCAAACTTGGCTACTATCTAAAAAGCGGGCATCTCTCTCTCTCTCTCTCTCTCTCTCTCTCTCTCTCTTTCTGGATGTGTTCTCCATGGCCAAAACCAAAGTGGGCATGGGTCAGTCAAGTAAAAGCCACTAGGGCGACTGCTGCTAGAAGAAGAAGTCTCCCATGGAAGGATAAAATGGTGCCCGGTCGGGCTAGAGCATTAGGGCCCGCCAGTCACAAGTCAAAGCCCTGCCATCGACTAAATGAGTGCTTGGTTCCCTGCCCAGCTCCGAAGATCAAAGAGGCAATTCTCCCTCCAGTCCGGGATTCTCACATGTTCTTATGTGAGTAAGAGCCACAGCGGAGGTGCTGGGAGCGAATCTCTCCATGGCGTGTAGACCACCTCATTAGCGTTTTTAACAACACATGTAATTTAATTCTGACCCGTCCAGGGGATGCATACAAGGGTTGGTCACCCAGCATCCCAGGTCCTCACAGTTGTCTTAAACAGCTGGGAGAGAAACTGAGACACAGTTCCAAAAACAGCACATTTCTGACCCACTGCATATGTCCACTCCCCTGGCCCAGATCCCAAACAGGTTTTAATTGGAGAATCATCTGCCTTCTGCTTTCTATCTCAGTCAGGTCAAATAGTATCCACCCATGACCGCTGCCTCCGTGGTCCAGGACCCACTAAGCTTAAAATACTAAGCCTCCATTGGTGGAGGTCTTTATAGTAAGGGTCCTGGGAAAAATTTCTAGGCAAGAGTTAAGAAAGGAAGAGCCAGCTAACTGTTTTCCATCCCTGTAGAAGTTTTTAGCCTTGCAGAGAATTAAGCATTACCACCAAACATAGCTGTTCAGTTATCCCACTAATTACTAGGTAACTTGCCTCTCGCCTTCATTGTGACTCTGTAAAATGGTCGCACACTCTCGGGAGCATTCTTAAAAGTCTCATTTTCACCAGATTTTATTTCCCAGTCCATTTGAAATTTGGAAAGGTGAGTCATTTCTCATAAATTAAGGAATGTGTCTTGGACTTTCTATACCAGTGATGGCGAACCTTTTGAGCTCGGCGTGTCAGCATTTTGAAAAACCCTAACTTAACTCTGGTGCCGTGTCACATATAGAAATTTTTTGATATTTGCAACCATAGTAAAACAAAGATTTATATTTTTGATATTTATTTTATATATTTAAATGCCATTTAACAAAGAAAAATCAACCAAAAAAATGAGTTCGCGTGTCACCTCTGACACACGTGTCATAGGTTCGCCATCACTGTTCTATACCCATGTAGAGGGAAAGGCTAGTTCAAGGGGAGGCGCCCCACCCGACTTTGGGTGGCCCTTGGCCGGAGCCCCAACTCTTTATGGATGCTATGGAATAGCCCTGAGACAGTTTTCGTTCGAAAATGACACAAGGGGAATGCGAGGCAATCAGCCAAGCCACATGGCCAAAATGGTCCATTGGAAAATGCCAAGGTTCTGGGGAGGGCCAGTCCCAAACCCGGGACGAGAGACATTGCTTTTTTTTTTTTTTTTAATATTTTTTATTGTTTTTTTACAGAGAAGAAGGGAGAGGGATAGAGAGCCAGAAACATCGGTGAGAGAGATCCATCAGCTGCCCCCTGCACGCCCCCCCCCCCCAGTGGGGATGTGCCTGCAACCAAGGTACATGCCCTTGACAGGAATCAAACCTGGGACCCCTGAGTCCGCAGGCCAACGCTCTATCCACTGAGCCAAACCGGTTCGTCAAGAGAGACATTGCTTTTACTGGAGTGCTTTGCGGAGTATCTGTGGATTATGTGTACTTGTAAATATTGTGTATGAGAGTGTTTATATGAATGTTTCATGTTCATGTTTGAATTCGTCTGTTTAAAGATAGGGAACGTCCCAATTTGCCGGGGCTCAGCTGCTGTGGACAGGAGGAACACGTGGCAGGATTTGAATCTTGAGAGTCCCTTTGCCTGCTGTGATGTACCTTAGTTACTGATTGTGGGCTTGGTTTGCTCTTCGCGGTCTTTATGAAGATAGAAAGCTCTCTGTCTCTGCTCCATGTGGGCTTTGTGTCACTCAGAACCCAAGGTTGTTCTGCTAGGTTAAAATTTTAAGATTCTGAAGCTAATTTGAAAGTGTAAATTTGTGAAGGTTGCATATATGTTAACCCAGGGAAGTTTAAATAAAGACCACCAGCTAAAGTTGTATGATTGTCTTCCCCACCTGGGGTGAAGTAGGAAAATGAAAAAGAGCCCTTTACTTAGAAACTAAGTGGCCTTTGGTTCCAAAGGTGGCGGCCGTTAGAAAAGGGAGGGGGGCGGGGAGAGGAAGGGGGCAGGGGGAAATTGGTAAAGCCCCATCCAGCATCACGCCCATTAAAACATCTTGTAGGCGGCATTGGCAGTAATGGGGGAACCGGGTGGTCAAAGCCTGCCTGTGATGTCACAACCCCCTCCCCCCGCAGGCCCTGCCTAGGCGGGAACTAAAGTTAACTATGAGGCATCACAGCTTTGTGGCTTCTGCGCCCTTAGGGGCATGGCAGCGAGGTGGCAAGGGGATGGACAGGCAATAGGCGTGTCCTCCCAGCATTTTCTCTGACATTCAAAGTATATCATATAAAAATTTAATGGCCAGATTGAAAATAATTAATTCTGTGGTCAAGACCAAATCTTTAATGTTAAAAACCGGTTTAAGTTTTAATAATCTTTAAATTGGGTATATTTGACAGCTTTTCCAAATGTGCTATTTCAAGAATTTAACTGAAAGACAGATTTTGTGACACCCTGAGGGCCCTGGGGCGATGCAAAAGGATTTATTTTCTCTCCCTAAAAAGAAATATCTTTGAACTAAATTAGACCAATGCAAAAAATATACTTGAAGTTGCATGAGGAAACTCTGCCAAATAAATTTAATAGCAATGTTCTATTTAAATACATATACTTTGAATGTCATAAAGGTTTTGGTCTACTTCAGAAAAAACTTACACAGATTCAAAGCCAACTTCAAACAGGAAACTTTCAGTCAGAGAAGGAGAGCAAGCATGATAATTCTCTGTGTCTGCCAGTGACATTCTGGGGTTTTACATTTCTCTTATGAGGATTTATAAATTGTTTTCAATGCTTTAATGTGCCGTCTGCAGTAAACCATGTGCCACATGTTACATACAAATTGTTTGTTGTACTAGAAGGTAGTTGTCTCAGAATATTATGAAACAAAGGCTTTATCAATTGCATTTTAAACAAATCTAGAACCATGCCACTTTTGGATTTTGTCATTGGACAGCCATTGCCTTACTTTGGTGCATTTAAGTCTTTAGAAAACCCATGGAAAGGACTCTGACTTACTCTAAATCGCAGGCTTCTAAGCAGGTCATAGTTGAACTAAAAGGTATTTTAAAACTTTAGGAGATTGCGGCACCTCTTTCTCATAAAAACTAGGAAGGTGTGCCTTTGTAATTCCCTGCAAAATCAATTAGCATGTCCCTCTCCCAGCAGGGGAGCAAACTGGTTGTCCAGTTTAAAGGAAGATGACACTTTTCAAGTTTGAAAATAAAACAGCAGAAATTAAGGGTCAGTAGAAACTAAAAGTTAAGCCAGTGAGCAGGAAGTTTCAAATATAAAATC